TCTGGGACTCTGTGATCTCTGCGTCAACTTTAATGTCAAGAAGATGCTGCAGTTCTACAGATACAGGAAGTGCAAGTCATCATTAAAAAAAACATTGCGGAAATAGATCCTTTTTATAAATTGCAGCAGTATAGAAGTTTGAGTTCCTTTCCACAAATAAAAGCGACTTCAAGTTAACATGGATATGAAGGAGTACAAGTTAATGTGTAACATTTAGAATGGCACTCTGAGAAAATACCTTCTCTTATCTAGTTTGGCATGTTTGGAAAAAGATTGACCCAAAAGTTGCCTCCATAATAAATCTCACAGAATCTACTGAATGAAATGTGTTGCAACAATATTACAGGACTTCCACGTGATGTTGTAACATTAAGTGCTCTTGCTTACGAAAGGACGTTGAGGTCATACATTAACAAAACAGTGCCCTCGTTTTGCTTTGTAGAACAACAGCATATGACGTCCACCCGCATGTCTCTCAAGTTCAGTGTGTGACAGACAGACGGTACCTGCGCTCGCCGAGAGGAAGCCGAGAGCAAAGGGCGTCGTGTCCCCCAGCTGGACAGAAACATTAACGTTGGACACGGAGGAGGTGATCATCACGGGAGCATCCAGGTGAGGGAGGCGCCTGAGGAAAAGGACGGTGGGCAAATAATCTAATGGACTACAGACAATGCCATTACGCCATGGAACAAAACAACACGGAATGAGGGAGTGATAAGAGAAAAGGGTAAAATATGATATTATATTATTGTGACAGAACACAGAGCCAATCACTCCAGTGAACTTGTGTCTGGCTTGAAAGTTCCCAATGTGAGCCATTAAGCAACCGATGCCTTTGACTTTCTTTTTAAAACTTGCCTTTTTCTATGCGCTGCCTTCCTGTGGATTAGCTGTTCCCATGGAAATAGATGTAGCCAATGGGAGAACTCCTGGTGGCGGTAGTGGATGATGCAAGTGTTGATCGTGAATGATCCCGAGATGTCAACAGAGGAAATCTAAAAGGTAGAAAATTATAAGAGAAAAAGTCATTATAATGTAGAAAAAAAAGTTATGGATTTAAGAAGCTTTGCTGCTGTAATGTGACCGTGAAGCATCTTCCTCACCTGCAGGGCTGTCTTCAGTGTGTTCACACAAAGGATTCTTTGCCTACTTTGTGAGAGGAGAAGTCCATCTGTCAGTAAAAAAAAGAAGAAAAAGAGAGATTCCAGAATGTGTTATTCATAGCTTTCTCCTTCATCCAACTCGCTCTGCATTGCCTGCAGCACCCAGCTGTCCACCCACCTTCCAGAAGGAGCTCCAGGTTGCTCTGGGGAATGCTCAGCTCAGGAGTGAAGCTCCTAAGAGGAAGCTGCTCATCGTCCCGTCCGTAGCAGACTTTTAAGGACTTCAGAGTCCAGTTCAGGTGTCTGTGCCGACGGGACAAACAATCGTTAAATCGAGTCCAACACAACTTTATGCAATTGACGGTAAAATGGTTGACTCACCTATTCTGGCTGTGCATGGACATGGTCACATTTGTATTATCAAATTCCATTTTGACCTTGTGGGGAACCAGCCGATGAAACCGCTCCACCATCTCAGTCTGGATGAACACAGCGTTTTCACACTCTAAAAGGATAGAGTGCCAAAGCTATTAAATCACAATGAAAAGTGCTCAGTCATAAATCATATTCGAAATGGTTCTATTGACAGAAAATGAGGCTATGCATGTTAAAAAAAGATGTTGCATATGATTTTTTTTTATTTTTACTTTTTGCATATGCTGGCTGATATTTTCTGGATGGTGCTTATTTTTTAGACCAACTCTACAAGCAAATCTAATGCACTTCATTTTTGAAGATCCCAAAATGTGTTTGGCATGGTAATACCAGAATAAGCTAATGTGCCATGTCCTTCCTCTTTCCAGCTTTTAGTGTGAATAAATGGCTAAAATGTCAACCTCAACTGTAAAGTCTGTGCTACTGGGATCCCACTTTTAAAAATATATATTTGTGTGAATAAAATCACAAAATACCACCAGTTACAGGAAATAGTGAGAAAAGAAACAATACTTTTACCAATATTCTTATTTTTTTTTAACTACTGCATAACTTGTACTTCATTTATATTTGATCCACTTATCATTCAGCATGCAGACATTTTAAGTCAATACAGCTCTGTGTTGTGACCTTGTCCTCATTTTCTTGCCGTTTAGCAGAACAGCTTAAAATATCACAGACAACTTTAGAAACCCATGTGTTTTAAAGTAAGCAGAAGGTGACTAATGTTACGCTAGTGTAAAACCACTATAAACAACACTACAGTTATAATGCTTGGGCAATAAAGAGGAAATACAGCTAATAGTTGTATATGTGTTGACATGCCGTCCCGTACAATCAGAATCCCGGATGCGAGATGAACGTCCCACAATTGATTGGTAATTGACAAGCTTGTTTGTGCACTGGACTTTTTTGGGACTTTTCAGAGATTGAGCGATTGATTGTATCACCAGATGATTCCTGACTGCTCTTTTTGGGAGAAGGCGGCAGCAGGAGTTGGCTGAGAAACAGTCCCTCGTGGAGCTCTGCTATTAGCGTCCTCACGTTCAGGGACAGACAACCTGGCTTCATCTCCGGTAGGCTCACATCTCCAGACAGCAGCAGGCTCAGGGCCACTTCAGCCAGACATAGGTCCTAAAAAACAGAATGCATGTCTGTCACTTACGCCTAATAAAAACCTTGTATTTCAGGGGAAAAAGAAAAACTTACCAACTGACTGCTTTTAAGTACTTTACTGCTTAGCTGCCCGACTGAGAAGTGCCACGCCAACCTGTGACAAAAGTTAAAAAGATCCTTCTTGCTTTTCTACTAAATTTGATAATTAAATGAGATTGTTAGTAGACAGAAACAACACAGACTGAAGGGAGCGGTTACCTTTTACTCTGGTGGTCCAGCAACAAGGTGATGCCAGTAACGGTCATGTGCCATAGAGACTCTGACAAAGCCAGGTTGAGGACCATCACATTGATTGAGCTGACGTGGAACGACAGCAGCTAGAAAACACAAGACGAGAAGAAGTGAGACGCTTTCTACAAATACGTTTAGCAAAAGATTGACCTTCGGCGAGGCTCCATACTTGTGACAGGAAGCGTAGCGTTGTGGGGCTGAGTGAAATCTTGCCAGACTTTTTTCCGTGGCTCCCCTTCCCCAAAGGTCCGAGTGGTGCCTGCAAGTCGACCCTCACTCTGGTGTCGCCAACACACAACGCCAGGTATCTCCTGAAACACAAACACGTAGCAGCTGTTTTCAGTAATGGGTTACTTGGAAAAAAATCTAGTACCAATTGGCTCAAAGATCTCAAACTATCTGACTGAGAAAAAAAATGTGAAAAACTTACGGCAAATCCTGATTAAGAAGTTTACTCGAAATCCATATTTTGTCAATTTCCTGTCATAAAGAGAGTCACTGTTATTGCGCAGCCATTCCCCAGATATCCTCGGTATACAGTCGACAAACAACACGTGTTCTGGCCATTACGGAGCCGAACATGAACCCCTGAAATGAGAACGTGCGTCATTTATGAGCTCACTAGATAAATGCCATGTAAACACAGCGTGTCGTACCAGAGTATGCTGGGGGTGAAACTGGATACTAACTCCTTGAACAGAAAACAGCCCGACTGATTGGATCTTCAGATCCGCATTAAGTGCAGTCTGGAAGAATCGCACAGCCAGGGTGCATATGAGCCATCTGTAATCAAAAAGGCAAGGACAGTATTTTTTTGAGTTTGGTAAATATGTTTTCATTTAACACTGTCAATCAAGGACAATACACATCTGGGTCAAATCACCAAACGTCACCTCGCAGAAATATAACACATTTCCATTCTTACCTGAAAATGACACATAACAACAGTATGCCGAGCAGAAGAATAAGCAGGAAGGAGATCAGCAAGGGAGGCATCGTGTCCGGAGTTGTTCACACCCAAATCTCGGACATGAGTCTGTCTCTCGGTCTCTCAGCTGCTGTCAAAGAGGAGCATACTCACTTCAGCTGAACACGACCTTAAACGCAGGTGTGAGTGTTGTGTGACTGCTTGCTAAAAAAAACAAAAAAACAATATTCAATAACTCCTCCTTCGCTGTGACACGCTGACGCAATATTTGCAATGCAAGCTAATAAACGTCAATTGTCTTTTTAACAACAGCCCCGTTAGCCTCGCCGTGCTAGCGGGGCTAATTAACGACTATTAGTTACAAGCCAAACATGAAATAACACGTAGCCGAACTTCAGGACTATTCAATGGGTACGACTATGACTTATGTGTAGTCCCCGTAAACGAAACACACTGGCAAAACAGTGGCTCGGTGTTTGCAACCGTAATCCCAAAGTGACAAAAAACAAAATTAGTTTTCAAGAGGTTTGTCGCCGCGTCATCCAAAAGCAAATCTGTGTTAGCAAGCTAACGCTACAGCTAACTTAGCTAGCATAGCTGGCACCCATAACTCGGCGTTCATTTTGGCAATAACCCGTTACTAATGTAGACGTCTTCGCTTCCATCGGCTCCGGCTGGATACGTCACTTACCCCGACACCGTCATGCTACTGTGCTTAGTGGTGCAAAAGAGCGTCGCTATCATCTGACAGTTAACTCTCGGCTCGGCCACAGAAGCCATTGAGTCGCGCTCCGCCCCGCCGAGTGGGAGAGTAGCTGGAGCCGCGCCAACGGCACACGAACAAATATTAATATCTCACTAAACTGTCCAAGGACCATTGAGCGGAACCAGTTCATACACTGATAACACACAACACTGACCACACGCAAGCTGAGTCGAACTCTTACAACAATGGAGACAAGGTTACAGAAACAATTCATATTCACTTTTTTATTTTTAAGAATGATTACATAAAAGGTAAGTCAACCACGTGACATAACTATTTCTACCACGTGACACTAAATGCAGTGATCAGTAAACCAGCAGGACCCCAAAGGGCTTTCAAAAAATCTGTAATAATGTCGGTAAGTAAGTTGATCTAAATGTGTCTTTCTGCCACCTATCTGCATTATTGATAGGAGCAATATTCATTGGAAGAAAGGACAAAATCAAACAAACTGGTGGTGTCAATGTGACTGTGCGTCATGGCACAAATCCTGGCTAGAATGATTTGCGCGCTACCCAAATAAAGTTGATCGAGGCGTCATTAAAACACCACAGGGGCCTCATATCACAGACGGAAAGTGGTGTTGCCCGATTCGTCTCACGCAGCAGCTTTCTGTCTGTTGTGTTTGGCAAACCACTCGTCGCTTTTATCTTCAGCCACGGCCTAAAAGACAAATTTAAAAGCAGAAAGGGCAAAGGTACAGTGACTATCCAATAGCATATTTCATCTATAGAGGAAAGTATTGCAGCAACACCAACCTTATCAAGCAGTTTGCTTCCATTAGGGTCCACCGTGGACAGCTGCCTGAAAGCCTCATCTCCCACAAAGCAAATTTCATGACCATCCTAAAACAAACATTGTCCAGGTAAGTTTATTTTAAAAATATTAACTAATTCTATTTTATTACTGCATTATATTAATAATGCACTTACTGGGTCAGCCAATATCACTACTTCTACCGTGGCCTTTCCTGGAGTGTCCAGGCTAACTAACGGAGTGAGAATTTTCTGATTTTCCTTTTTGATTAAGGCCTCCAGGTCCGTCAGCTGTGTGATGTAATGCAACATTTATATTGAAAATGTTGATCATTTTCTACAATATGAACAATTACCAGAATGTAAACGTGAAATAATGTTTTACTTGCTCCCGTGGACAGGAAAATGCTATTCTTCCAAACGCTGTTCCGTGATCTATTGTCCCACTGTTCTCACGGAGCTCCAGTTTACACTGCATGAGTAAATAAAATATTACAGTCAGACCAAAATACATTACTGATTTAATGAAACAAAATACAAAAGATAATTACTGCTATGACACTTGACTCACTTGCGTGTCTGTAAATCCCATCAGCACTGTTTTCTTTTCCTCATTGTTTTCCATCACATTCATTCCTAAAAGCGTAGTCCAATAGTGGATCGATCTTTGGAGGTCTGATACTCCGAGACAAACTTTCTGCACAGGATCTGCGGACCAATTGTCAAAGGTTAGTGCTGAAAACGTTCCTCTTCAGCACACTGCACGTATGTCTGCACCAGCTGCTGGTTCTGCAGGAGAGAAAAATTCCCTTTACAGTTTTGTGTGGGTTCTTGTCATGAAGTTCCCATTAAAAAAATAATGATAATGAGCTTTGCTCCAAAAAAAACCTTTAAGATGCCTTTAGATACAATCATGACATGCTTACAGTACAATTAATTTTGTGTATTAAAAATAATCATAACTATTCTTCATTATAGATGTGTGGAGTGATCAATAAATAAATAACATACAAAATATATTAACATATTCCTTGACCAATATAATGATGAAATGAGTACTGCTGTGAATACATGTTAAATGCTTTGAAACCAAGCACCTCTTTGCATTTGTGAAGCTGTAACCAGCCTGGTACTTTCACTTGATACATATGATGGAATATCCAAATGAGTCGCTTAATAAATTACAATGATACAATCGGGCAGATAATAATTTAAAAAAATACCTGGGAAGTGACACTCACCAGTGGGAGGCTGCTCTTTGTCCACGAGGTAGAAGGGATACCCTCCCGGAGCCTGGGTCAGATACAGAGCCTCGCCTACCTCTGTTAGGGGCCATCCCAGACGTTTTGCATTGCTCACAGCCTGGCTCGACTGCACAGTGACCCCCTAAAGTGAAGACATACGTCACAATAACCCTTTAAAACACAACGTTGGTGTCCTGCGTAAAGCCTTTCACTTAACTCTCACCCACCAAGAAGTCATTGCCAAGTTGATACTCTCCCACCCCGTAGTTGTACGTCAGTTCAGCGACAAAGTGGTCATCCTCAGGGCCGAAGCCAACCATCGTCTTGCTCCATTTTCCATCGTACGGGCTGCAGGGACACAGGATGAGGACATCTGTGTAAATCTGTACTGCAACTGTGTGTAGTATGAGTGCAAAGTTCAGATACTTTAAGATGTCTGAGGTTACCCATTACACGTTGCTTTGCAGCCTTCTTCAAACTCCTCATGGCGTAAAATCTAGAATGAGGGAGAAGATATGAAATAATACGCATTGAGTGTAAAGATACATTTATTAAAACACCCTAGTTTGACTGACTCATGTGGCAGGAGGAATTTGAGTTAGCTAACTGACGTTACGCAACCCTGGGCGACACGAAACATTTAATAAATTGCTTCGGGCCTTTAAATGAAGTTCATAAAATTACAATCGGAGTCATGATCAGCTTTATTTTCCCAGTGCGCTTACGCATACATGGAATTTTAACCCTTTTTGTATTTGCTATTCACATTCTAAACAGTTTACTTTTACAAATAAACAAGACGGATAAATGTACCTTCATACCCAGAACATCTCGGTAAAACATAGCGGTTTTGGTCCTGTCACCAACTTTGAAAACAAAATGCAAAGCTCGTCTCAGTGCCATATTTCTTGTCTGATATAAGTTAACGTTTATGATGAACGTGAAGGGAGATCGATGAGCAGGCAACGATTAAGTTTCCTTGTGAATCGATTTCTCCGTTGTCGATTGGAAGAAAGTAAATACAAGTGAGCAATGGGCAAACAGCAGGAATGTGCAATTATGAACGCGATTCCTGATAACTATTATAGCCTATGTTGATTCATTAAGATTCTTAAATCCTTCTGAGGAAGTGTAACGTTTTTGAGCAGGATTGGAATAAATAAAACGATGTCCGCCCCCCCCTATTCGTTCAGGGTAATGGTATCACCCGGTCTGTCACAACGCAATGCCAATGTGAAATAAGTAAAACGTATACGGAGAACATTTGAAAAGATAGTGCAAGTAGGTTAGTGAATACGCAGTAAATTATTAACTTTACTGATTAAACTAGGGTGCTTTTAGATAATCACATCATGCAATATTTCCTCCACCACAGCTGGTGGCGTAAAGCGCGCAGTGTCGGTGCTACAAAACGAGAGAAGAAGAAACGGGGCAAACATGGCAGCCTACACGAGAAGCGTGATATGCCTTGTTTCCATGGAGCGGAGTTCTCTTCTGTCGAGGGGGAGCGCTGTGTTTGTGGAATCGAAGCGGTACGTACGCGGACTGAGGAGGAAACCTGTCCAAGTGTTGATGCCCGAAGACGTGACGGATAAAGCCGCCAGGCCGCCGCCAGCAGCGCGAGACGCCCGGAGGCAGCAGCCGGGACAAGAAGTAGTTCCGATGAACCCTCCCGAGCAGCGCTTCGCTAAAGCGAAGAGCAGTGTGCATTTGGCTGTGAAAAACACCGTTCAAAACGATCTGATTGATGGGCTTCGCTTCGAGAGAGCTCTGCCGGGAGATAAACGACTGGCGTGAGTGTCACTTGATTTATTGCCACGATTACACGTTTCAGAGGTTTTTGTCAGTGTTTCACACGTTTTTTGTCAGTTTCAGATGAAGTCGTTGCTCAGTTTAAAACGCAGTGTAGGAAGGACACTTTACTTACACTCCATTTTAGGCTGGTCTATGTTGCTGGTGTAACAATTATGTCATAGCTGAGATTTATTGAGATGTATAAACTGGTCATCATTCATATTCACACTGTAATCCTGTGTCCTTCAGGCGGTTAGTGAGCGTTGCACGCTCAAGGACCTTTCGGGAGCACCAGGGTAAAATCCTCCTGGAGGGCAGGCGCTTGATCTGTGACGCCCTGGATGCTGGAGCCAACCCACAGATGGTGTTCTTCAGTACCGTGGATCGACTCCGGGAGCTGCCTTTAGACAAGCTGAAAAGGGCCACGCTAGTCAAAGTCAAGTTTGAGGAAATCAAGATCTGGTCCGACCTTGTGGCCCCACAAGGGGTGATCGGTGAGGGTCACATATTGTTAGTTATGAAGCACGTGGCGTGTTTGCAGTTTGTTTCTGACTGACTTCTTTTTCCCGCAGCCATATTTTCTCGTCCGGACCCTTTGCGATTGAACTTCGCTAATGAGGATCATTCAGTGCCGTTGTCCTTGATATGCGACAACATACGAGATCCCGGCAACCTTGGGACTATGTTACGATGTGCAGCCGCTGCTGGCTGCCATAATGTCCTACTCACAAAAGGTACGCTTATTAAATATGTGATATCCACCTTCTGAAGGTGGCGGTTCCCTTGCTCGCGTGTCTCATACGTTTGCGTTTTCCCCCATCGACAGGTTGTGTTGACGCTTGGGAGCCTAAAGTTCTGCGTGCAGCAATGGGCGCCCATTTCCGCCTACCCATCTATCCCAGCTTGGGCTGGGCTGATGTGGAAAAACATCTCCCTAAACTCGTGACTGTGCACGTGGCGGACAGCGGCTGCAGAGAACCGGAGAATTCACACGTTAACGAGTCTCAGAAACCCTCCAAAGCCGGAGACTATGGCTGGGTCAGCACGAAGCCCAATCAAAAGAACACGCGCTACGAGGAATACCATTCAGATTCTGACTCAGACTCAGATTGTGAGGGAGGGCGACTCTCCCTTCCGAACGTGGACACCAAGCTGTACCACGAGAGCTGGGCGCAGAGCGCCACTGCCCTGGTGATAGGCGGCGAGACGCACGGCCTGAGTGTGGAAGCAGTAGAGCTGGCTGAGCGAACCGCCGGCCGCCGGCTCTTTATTCCAGTCGTTCCGTTTGTGGACAGCTTGAATTCAGCTATGGCTGCCAGTATCCTTTTATTTGAGGGCAGGAAGCAGCTGTTGAAACTAATGCAGGCATCTGGAGGGAAATCGAAATCTAAAGCCGGGGAGCAGCTCTCGTGAGAAGTGTGGGACTTGTGTATATTTATCAATGTCACTACAGAATGAATTATTAAAATTTCAATTTGTCCTAAGAGTAAACCACTGGATTTCAATTAGTAATTTGTGAAATGGTCCTATTTCAAGTTAAATGAGTTGGCTTGTATGCATTCAGGAATTATCTTCACTAAAATGTGAGAACTGGTCGTTGGAGTTTCTTTGAGCTCAGGGTAGCATCTTTAACCCAAACCCATATAACCGATGACAACCCTGAGCTGCAGGAAAATATACAATAAATCTCACTAGAAAAAGTTAAAAGCACTTTGTGCTCCTTGTCTCCCCCTCCCTCAAAGCATAGCGGCATGGTCTCCATGAATCATTCTAGTAAGAACACGTCCATCCTAGTCCTGCAGCCCATGCAAATCAGCAGAAGTCAACAAACCTCCATCCCACCGACAGTCCGCACATTAACAAATCTGTATACAGTCTTATAAATACAGCATTTGCATTCAAGCCCACGAGTCATTGGAGTACTTGTAACCAAATAAATGGTCATTGCAGTGTGCTTTACATATCCAAGAGCTAACTTTATTGATGGAAAAAAAACTGCTTGCCAGTGAATTTTAATGGGTGTGAGAAGTAATTACTAAAGTACCAGAATACAGGGATTTATACATTCAACTCTTCAAATGCCATTTCTATGCCTTCAGAAACAACCTGGTCTTTAAATCATGGGACCTTCACAGAAAATCCTCATGACTGAGATGAGAAGCCCCACTAACAACTGGCAAGAGATGACTTTCACTTACAACTAGACACGGGGGTTTTAAAATAGCAGTCATTTGGTCGATAAGAAGCAAGTTTAATGTGCGCTTAAGTGTATGTGCACCTGTGTTTTATCTTTTAAATAGGGCCAGAAAGGCTTACGGCTACATCCAACTGAGGTGAAGCATTGTTGCACTACATGTGAATTAAAACAGTAAAAATGCCTTTTGTTCTTTCCCATCATTCAAGAACCAGAAGTAACCAATAAAGCAAAGAATCAGCTGAATAAAGTAGGTCCACAGGGTAATTATCTGGTTCAGAAATGCTATTGTGAGAAAAGAAAAATACAGATTTTCTTCAGGCAAAAAAAAAAAACTCCATATATATTACTGTAGGGACTATCGTCAATGCAAGGCACCACAGGAGACAAGGAGGACATGTCTAAAATAAAATAAAAAGGTAAAATGTCAGTAAAAAAGGTGAGATCTCTTTAACTGTGACTAAGTCAGCGGGCAGGTGGGAGAGACCGTACAAGGATGGGAATTGCGAGGGAGGTTGCAAACGGGTCAGGGTCCGATGATGGAGTGAGTCCCACATAGCATGTCCAATTTATACGTGGCTTTCCGCTTTAAATGGGCTCTGGTTTCAGCTTTTCGGCCAGGAAGTCGCTGACAAATTGCTCCACTTCGGCCGGCGTGATCTCCTCTACGTCGCGGACGTACTTGGCTCGAGCAGACATGTCCAGGATGGTGAGCAGAGGCGCTGCTTCGGGGAGGTTAGTGTAGTCCCGCAGGGAGTCACTCATGTCATCCTGTGGGGGGAATAAAGTGTCATTAGGTGTGACGTCACAGGAGGTAGGTTCCTCACATTCATGGATGGTCTTGTCGGAAAGTCCAAAAGTGGGGATGTCTTAATCTTGTCTGCCAATAAGTAATGAACATTTGTGAAACAATCCCAAAAATGTTCAACTGCAAAACAGATGAATCCAGAAAAAAACATTAATAGATTCTCAATAATCTTCCAAAAGTGTTGTACATAAAAGGTCAGAGTTTTTCCCAGAAAAGAGTTGTACCGCAAGTCTGAGGGCTTAAAGATGATAAAGAGGACAGGAAGAAAAGAACATTAGTGGCCATTTAAGGCTTTTCTTTGTCTCTACAGTAAATACTGGTTCCCTGCACACTAATCTTGCAAGTCCATAGAACAGTTTGTTGGAAATGCAACACTGCAGGGCTGGAATTCCCCACGCTGTTTGGCGTGATCACATTTTCTAGGTCAATCTGGTGACAACACTTAGCTCTGCTGGTTTTCTTGTAAATTACGTGACAGTCTGAATTCCTTTGGCCTTTTTCACAAAAGAGAAAAAGAAGGCTGGGAACTATTTGTTGAGACATCCCACCTTCATTTACAGCATGATAAAACTGTGGGGGGGAACATTTTCAGCTCGATGGGAGCTGAGCTTTTCTCATAATCCGTAGGCATTTAAATCACTTCGTCAAACGCTTGATGTGTTCCAGGAAAGAACAGACTGAATGACACATTTCTCTGCTGCTCATCAGTTCCGACTTTATCTTTGGCAATTTAGGCATGAACCATTACTTCAATTAAACCACAACATAAATCAAACCATACAATTCTGAACTGCCTGGCACATTCTTTAATGCCCACTTCTTGAGCAGAGTGTGGGATCGCAGCCACGCTTCCTTCCCGTGTGGGGTCCAACAACACCCCCGCCGCTTTCAAAAAGTACCTCATCAGATACAAGTCTGATTGCAGAACCGTGCTGAGGTGTGAAGGAGTTTGTTACAGATAGATTGCTGCGGGATTTGGCGGGCGTTCCACCCTTTTTTTTTTTTTTGTTTACTTTGCAGCTATCCGAACAAGGGTTCACACATTTGCCGCCTGAGGCTCGATGTCACCATTCACCCTTCAACAAGCCAGGATTACAACCCCTGTAGCCCCGGGTTACAGAACAAATCAGCAGCAGGCAGCACCTTTCACACAAGCTTGAAAGGACCATTAATTTTGGAGACTGAATAAGAAATCCCGCCCTTTTGTAATTCAGATCCAGCCGGGCGTGCTTCTGGATTCGGCATTCCTACCAGACAGATTCTCTTCTCTTCGTACCTTCCACGAGTCAAACGGATTTGAGGTGTTACGCTTTATAAGGTCACAGGGTTCACTTGTTGGATGTGCACGGCTACGAGCGATTCCCCCTCAGTTTAGCTCGCTGGCTCAGAGCGACTCGCAGAGATTACAGTTTCACATGGAAAAGATTAGGTTGAAATGCAAAAACTAAACACGAAAAGGCCAGCGGGTGGCACTGCAGCAAAGAGTTGGACTAATGGCGGAAATGCCTCTGATATTAATACTGTTGCTCATTTATGTGCCACTGTGAGTTTTGTCAAAACAAAGTCCGAGACAAAGCGACTTTGAATGGATTTCTTGCTACATGACGCTCAAGCCCTTGGGTCTTATCTGCTAGCAAAAAATCTGTAACTACTCTTGCTCAATGAACAGCTCGGCTGTGCTCTTACCTAAAAAGGATAAGTGTGCCAAGATGTGACCTCTCCTTAACAGAGCAACGAAGAGATGAGTAGCTGTGTGGTATTTTTTCGTAGGTCACTCCGAACGGAGCCCATTTTAAATCACCGTACGTTGGCCACTAAATACTCAGACGTAACCTGCCACCAAGAACAACGTCGTTACGAGTGAAATACTGCTCGGTTGTCTGTCTGGAAAGGGAAGCTTTGCCTTGCAGGCTCGGTTGATGTCATACGGAGTGTAGATTATTGATGATCTGGGCACGCGTGGAAGGGAAACCACAAAGAGACATTCCACAATCAGTTACCATGGCCGCGCCTCGACGATATGAGATGTAATCTCCGCATCAGTCTTCGCCGCTGTAGGAGGTCGTGCATCCTCTTTTGTGTGCCTTCCCTGCTTGTGTAAACTGCTCCACTCCAGAGCCCCCCCATGCAGCTCAGAACAAAAAAAAAAAAAAAGACAAAAAGGGCCTCTCTGCTACAGCCCGCACGCACAGCTGTGATAAGGCTTAGCGTGTGTTTACCGTGTGGGGAAGCTGCGTTAGGCTTATTCCGATTATCGATGCACCGTGGCATTTCACAGACGATGGCCAGCCGATAAGGCCCGAACCGATAATGGTGAACAAACCTCCCCGCCGGCCTCTGAGCTGCATCAGTCTCACTGGGAAGCTCGGATGGCTTGAGGAAAAAGTCATGGTTGGGGAATTTGGGATATTCCCAACAGCAATTGCACAAGTGTATACAAATCATGCAACTGTTATGGTTTTCTCTACATTCCATGCATTTCTAATTAAACAACACTAAATCTCTACATGCAATGATTGGGTCTCTAAGGCTGTACAGGTGTCATGTTTATCTTTTTCCTCACCATTTAGTTAAGTGTTAAATATGCTAACATTTAGCAAACAGCACCAACACAGATTTTAATTTGTAGTGCTAAAAACATTAGTTATTGATGCAATGAAGCAATACAAAAAAAATCCAATTTAAAATAGAATCACTGGCACTAATTTCCTCATCCTGGATCAAGTTGCACTTGACAGGCTGACAGGACAGAGTGGAGGACTCGGTTTTCATAATAATGATTGCGTGCTCAAATATTTAGTAAAAAACGAAAGGCAAGGTTTTCCTGAGATCAAATATTAATGCACAACAAAAATGCACGACTGCTTAGATTTTTGTCGCCAAATTTCATGCAAAAAAAACAACAAAAAAAAACGTACACAGCACAACGAAAAAGATCTTTGATTTTGCATTCATAACATGCCTATACTTTTAGTCCGGTAAGAAGATCTTATGTCATTCTGTTCTGCCCGGCCTCCCTCCTGAGGGCCAACAAACTGCAGCCTCATGGACACAGAAAACCCAGCAGCTGGCCTGGCAAGGAACTACGGGGGCTACGGGGGCTATGGGGGCTGACCCCGGCCTAGAGCCGCAGCCCGGACGCTACACTCCCTGATTGCTACCAAACGGGAAAAAGGATATCGGACCCCGAATCCTAGTAAAATCTGGTGATTTGATAGCCGTTCGAGCAAAAGTCAGGAAACTACCTGCACTGCCTGGATGCAAAATGATCCGTCTTTGCATGTGTGCCACAAGGGAAACAAAGTCCACTTAGACTGTTGAATCACTTTCAGCACCAGCGCAACAATGCAGCTTTGTCTTAGGTCAAATAAATACTGGCACACACACACACACACAATGAACATGAAACGCGATCATGTTTAACTCTGTAAGGCTTTCTTGTTCTGTGGGTGCATGTCAGGGGAATGTCAAGGCTGACAAGTGGCCTTGGACAGACACACACACGCGGGGTCAGATAGTTGGCGCATGTGCCAGCCCCACGGCCACGAAACCGGAGCTCTGCTTCAGTGTGTGACACGAGAGACCAGCGTTGTCCTCTCAGACACCTGGACAGTCGGGGCTGGGAGGACGGGGAGGTGGAGGCTAGATAGCGAGGGAGCTGGGCAGAGGCAGCTAACGTGGTGATTATGTCGGCCGCTGCTGCGAACGCCATCATCATCATCAGCTCCGGAAAGGTCGGGGCGGAACAACAACAAGGAGATAACGGTTATGAAAACTTCCAAGTAAGACAGGACTCGCAAGGAGAAAAAGTTGGAGACGGAAGGATTACTTCAACAGGAGAAGGCCTTCTGGGCCACTAACCAGTTATGATAGTCACCAAGTTGAAGTCTGGGTCATAGATAGAAGCGTCACTCTTGTAGGTTCAAGAGGCTCTACGGGCTTCTGATGCAGTCATTTCAACAGTGGCTGAGTGTTGGGCTTATGAAAATTAAGGAGGGACTTCCAATGTGTGATTGAGTCCGACTGCAGGGCAAAATATCGAGTGATATTTGTTATGAGTATCCTACGTGCAGGCTGAAAGCACAAAGGCAGAAATACATTGGCTATGTCGGACTTAAGTGTTGCGTAAAAAAAGTGTTTTTCACTACAGTTTGCTTAGTTTTAAACGGCAAGGTGTCCCGCGGTAGAAATATCTCAGATTTCTTTAATAACCAACGTTAACTTGGCTATAAGTCAATATTTCAACAATGGATCCTCTACTCATTTGAAAAGCGGTTGTCGTTGTGGTAAAATCCAATCCCCCGACTCTGCATTTTCCTTCCGTAGAAAATTGTGGCGCGTTTTAGCTGATAGTTTTCTTCTAACTTTGCCGTTTTGCTTACTTCAATTGAGGATTTAGCAGCTAAAAATCTAAAGCGCTGTCGGCCAGACACTGTTAAGGGTCCCTATTTGTCAAGATTCTTTAACAAAAGGATTTATTATTTATAGTACATGTTTATGAAATATCAAGATAATCAGCCTCAAAACTCATGTATCGGTCAGCATACCATTAGTCACGACTAAGGCACTTTGCCAAGCGTATCACAATCACTCACAAATAAGTTGCTGGACATCTCAGCTATACGCATTTGCGTTGTCCGGAGTCTCATCTCACCTCTCCAGCCACAAAGAACAGCAGCGGCATCTCCTCCTCCTTTGCCTTGTACTTGACCATAAGCTTCTCCGCTATTGGCTGAATTAGCTCCTTGGCTGGTTCCAATTCACCTTCCTCCTCGGCGTCTGAACCAAACAGAAAGAGGTTTGAAACATTGGAGAAAAAAGGTCCAGCCGGAAGATGGGAAAACGCACAGATGAGTGGAACGGAATCCCGGAAAGCGAGATGACAGCAGAGCGATTACACACAAAACGCAGGGCCAGCTCACCCACAAACAGGACGAGGCAGGGCCCCTCGTGTAGCTGCACGGCGTTGGACTCGCTGAGCTCCAGCACGGGCCGAGGGTGCCACGGAAACAGCCGGCACTCCGGGTCGTTCAGCACCTCCACGCGGCCCTGTCGCGTGATCATGTGACCCTCTGCGTCCAGCAGAATCAGCGTGGGAATACCTGGTGAGGGAGGAAAGGGGGTGAAGTCAGTGGCAGACGCAGAGGAAAGAGAAGTGCGCTGGAGACGAGCGAAAGAGTCAGAGGTGGTTGAGGACGTTTGTGTTGATTACCGCTGCATGACACAGACTGCTCCCTCCCACTGACATTTCTTCCCTTGTCGTCTACATGTTTTTGGACAGTTTTGCGAAGCTTTTGCCTGTCAGCTTTTGTGCCCCCCATGTGATCGTCTCTCACCACCCTTCCGTTAACAGAACCAGCTCCATCAGAACCAGCTCCATCAGAGCGCCGACAGTGTACTTGAGCGAGTGTGTTCCTGAAGTCAACAGAGGTCAACGCCATCATGAAGGGTTTGAAATGCGGGAGAAGTGTGGGGGGGGGGGGGGGGGGGGCCTGCCCTGCCCATCACAGTAAGCTGTCCGCCATTGAGCCAATGACCAAGTGAGTGAACTGACAGAAATAATGCATCCACACTCGCTCTTCCCACGCGCCGAGAGGCCAGACAACGTTCACGAGGTTGAGCTGGCTCACCTTGTATCCCATATAGTCTGTTGAGTCGTGAGCGCCGAGCCTCATCCGAATATGGCACCGCCAACCAGGGCATCTCGCTGAAGTACTGCTGAAAGGACTCCTCGGACCTGAGAGGGGAACACGGCGACGCCACAGTTTTTAACAGCCGAAGAAAGAAAAGACGCCATTTGTGTCTTGCGTACAAATATGATCTCGTCTGCGTTCTGCCTCTGTGATTCTTACCGGTCAGCACTGACAAACACGATCTCAAACTTCTGACCGGACTCTTTCACAGCTCGATATGTTTCAACCAACACCCGGGTCAGACTGCGACACGGGGGGCACTAACGGAGAGAGAGAGAGAGAGAGAGAGAGAGAGAGAGAGAGAGAGAGAGAGAGAGAAAATATGGTCACACATGTGACTGGTTGCTTCCACTACTTGGGTTATTCCCATTCACCTTTCCACAAGCTTCTCTCAAATATAGAAGTCTTAAACCAGCTCCAGAACCTGTTGTTTTGGGTGTTTGGAGAGAAAACACTCTTTGGAGCAGGACATCAAGGCGTATTTATACGAGACAAGGAAAGGAACTTATGCTAGTCATGTTTTGGGGGGCAACATCTTTTGTACAACCTGCTCTAAGGTCTCTGCAGTGTGTTGCAGAGAAACAACAAATTTCACTCGCACACTCGTTTTTCTGGCTTGAAAGGCGGCATCACAGGTCATATTTGCTGAATTTAGAGTGCTTTACAATGAATAATAGATTAGAAATGCCATAACCTATTTGGTCATTTTGTCCATATTTTCAATCTGGTACCAAATATGTTATACAAGCACAATTGGTCATTTATAAAATATATGTATGTATAAGTGTATAAATAAATGTAAATGTGCTTTGAATATTGATATTGTACATATCTACAATATATTGACTCCTTTCTCGGGTTTCTTGTAGAAATAAAGGCTCAAAATTAGTCGATAATAGTTTTGCGATGTCATAGTTTGCACAATGTGGGGTCAATGCTAAAGCTTCAGGAATCTGTCCCAATTGGACTTTTCTTGCCAACGTCTGACTAAAGTTTCACTGCTCTGAGATGAAGCCCCTCACCTTGGAGGCAGATAAGTGAAATACGGGTCATGTTTTGCCACGGGTCATTAAAATATGAAATAAATAATGAAAGCGTGTAAACAGATGCCACGGCCACGTTCTAGACACTGTTTAAAATCACTTTACTAGTGGGCGGACTTGCAAGAGTAACTATGGGGAATGTTGTGTGGAAAAAAATGTTCTTGTAAATGATTTTTGTGACTGGTCCCAATTTCGTAAGGACCTTGGGGTTCGCGCCAGCCTTCAGGCGTCACCGTGACCGGTCTCTGAGGCCGCGACTCTGGCAGCTGCTGTGCCGACTGGCCTCAGTAGCCGCCGCTGCATCTCATCAGGAACGGTCGACTGATGACATAACGCCTGGCGTGCATCACTGAGGCGTGACCTCTGCTGGCTATCAGCGGGTCCACCACCCAAAGAGACAATAGAGATGATGTCAGTGGGGTGGGAAAAGAGGTGGTGGGGAAAGGATGAAAGGTGAAAAGGATCCAACCACAGCTAGTTTAAACACACAAACACAAAGGAGTCGCCTCCACCCTGCTGCGCTCTCTCATCAGTCTCGACTATCCGCTGTCCCTTCCTGCTCGGCTGATGGTGCCCTTGCTCGCCCATGTTTTTCGGTGTTCTGATAAGAGTTGAGGCCAGAAACATGTTTAAAAAAAAGAGGCTCTTTGTTCTTTTTCTCTGTGCCCCGTACTCACCCAGTGTGCGGAGAAGTACACTCCCACATAGTGTCCCTCCAGGGAGCTGCTGTCGGTTGTCTGCCTGTTGTTCCTGAGCAGAGGCCCTGCCACCACCTCCGCAAATGGCTTTGGGCCCCAGGGGAACTCCAGGCCTGGGAGAGGGTACAAAAGAGGAGGGGGTGCAAAGGGAAGAGGCAGAAAATCATTTGAAAAAGATGGGTAAGAAAACAGGACTGACAGGTTGGCGGCATTGTGCAGCTGAACATACAGATAGAAGTATACCAACGTGCTTACAATGACAACGTTAACATGCGGATGTTGTACACGCGCCTTATGTTTACCAGTCTGCCCATCTCATAGTCTCGCTGAGAAAAAAGAACTTTAGTTTTACAGATTTTGGGTCAGAAAAACATTTGAGCCGGTGATGGAGCGTCTGGAGATCAAACAATAACATTTTATCCTCAGGGGAAACAATGTGTCTTTAAAACAATATTTCTGGAATCCATAAAGTAGATGTTAATGCGGCTATCCACCACCTTGTCGTGGCGTGTAACCCATAGCCAGAAAACGTTTTCTGTCAATTAACTCAATTGACATTGAATCAGTCATGTGGGGTCCTCATGTATTCGTTATTTACAGGCTTTCCCCCCCCTTTCACAAATGGGCTCCGAAATACACACTGGATTTAAAATATGGTTTTATTTTTATGGCTTTTTTAATTTTTATTACTGCCTATGCCATGCCTATCAAGCAAACAAAACTGTGCCAGAACCCCCCCCCCCCCCTACTCTTTCACACTTACATTTCCTTTTCACCGTGTCCTCATTGTTACTGGCAAGCTCAAGAGATGCATTTGGTGCAGCCAAATTAAAAAGGGAGGTAATCATAAATAAAATCTTGAATAGCCGGGTCATAATTGGCTTTTTTTGAGTGCATGGTTGTCCAGGGCTTCATTAGCCAGGACTGACACATCTCCAACGCGCTGACACAGCCTTTTATTGTTGTCCCAATTATTAAAGTGCACTCCATCTTTGCGCTGCAGGCTAGTCAGTCGCCACTCAAGTCCGGCCTTTCATCGAGAGTAAAAGGCCCTGAATGGTTCACCCGCCCCTCCCAGTCCCCAATGTACGGTCAACTTTGCATTACTCCTCTTTCAAACAGAATCTTCTGCAGCCAAATAGATTTTTCATGTAAGCAACTGCTCTTAGTCTGCCTCTCAAAAGAACATGAACTGATCAAGATGTACAGTTAAAAGAAGTGAGCACAGGCATAATGAAGTGACTGTGCACATATTCACTTATTGCCAAATGTAGTTTGAAAGAACAGTTGATGAATCACAGGTAATTCTGCAGGCTCTGGCTGGCTTTCATTAACCAGGGTGTGAAGAGGCACCGCTTTCAAATATTGAGATGTTCACAGCCACAGAGGAAGTCCTCTGTAGAGGGAGAGGAAGGCATGCTCACTCTCGTTAAGTCTCCGTCTCCACTTCAAAGTGCAGAAATGATAGGGTCTGCAGATGAGAGTGTAAGACATGGACACGGTATAATATTCATGCAGCACCATATTTAAGACGGGATCAACACAAACCGAAAAGGTGGGGAAATTAAGTTTGTGCAAAATGTTTTAGTCAAATGCCGATAGTTGTGGCACTGCAGTACATCTCCATTCCCACTCATCACAGAGAAAGTGTGGTGTCTGCGTGTATGAAGGTGCAACTTCTGTTCTCATTTAGGTCTTGCTTTAGAAGTTTATCCTTCTCACTCGTTGGAATGATATAATGCAATAGATATTGGAATTTTACTATACATTTCTATTACTCCAATCTTTATTACTCAGAGGTTACTCACAAGGTTTCTCAAAAGCCTATTACCTCTTTGTACTGTGACATTTGTGTTTAATGGCTCAATAGAGTATTAAGGTCAGAGCTTGAGGTCAAGGGATACAATTAAATCAGGCTGATGCCTTCACTTATAAATTCACCATAAGTGCGTGTGTGTGTGTGTGTGTGTGTGTGTATCTGCCTGCAGAGCTGGCCGATCTCACCTTTGGGGTCATCCCTGACCACCAGCAGACCGTTTCGACACACCACCTTCCCCGTCGTTGCGTCCACAAACACCAGAGATGGGATACTGGTTACTTTGTACTTGTTCCACAGCTTCATCTGGAGAGAGAAAAGGATGGAGAGGTTGGGGGAAAAAACAACAACATTTAATACAATTTCAGAGCCGGAAAAATGCGTAGTCTAAAAGTCTGTCGTCAGTGTAACGCAGTGTAGTACTTTAACCTGAAATACTGCAGTATAAACAAAACGCAGAGTACCATATAGGTTTCATAGGACAAACACTCTTCTGTTTAAAAGGAGGCTTGGGGGTAGAATGAAAAAAAGCCAGTAGCCCTGAGGTGAACTAGTAGAGGGAGAGAAGCACATTGCTCCGCTTTAAAACAAGGCTGAATTGGAGCAAACTCGTACAGTCCCTAATGTGTCATGAATACGAGCAAACTTTGTTCTGCAGTAAAGAAGAAGTGTCTGAATCCTTAGTGTGTAACACAATGAATTATTGAGCTTCTTGGATAGACTTTTGAGCTTCCATAGACATTCATGAGGGGCCCTTGGCCTTAATCATAATAAATTAGCGGATATGAAAACGACCTCATAAAAGCTCCTTTACAGTCAGAAAAATCTCCACGAACTGACGCTATTCATGTAGTTCAGCGATCAGTGTGGTCCTCCTCTTCAAAAGAGCAGATCGAGCCCAAATCTGAATTTTCCATTCACAGCGAATGGAAAATAGCCACAGTTTGCAAAGAGCAAAATGCGGCACCCTGCAATGTTGCCGCCTCCGCAAGAAGAAGAAAGGGGGAATCCCTGCCATGACATCAATACCGGAAGAGCCGAGGAGAGAAACACCGTATCACAACGATGCAGACCCCCTGTTTGACTTGCACACCTGCTAGGATTTTCTGTGTGTCAAATGAACACTTTTAACATTGTTCAATGTACTACCTGTTGTAGCCAAACTATTAAGTATCCATACAAAGTTAGGGCTGTCAACATAAAAACGCGTTAATCTATGCGATTAATGTGGCAGAGATTAATGCAACAAAATATTTTAAAGTAGTTGACGTACGTTTGTTTACAAACCGGAAGTTGACCACGGAAACGAAACGGCCGCTCGCTGCATTCAGTTACATAAAGACTGAGAGCTTTTTGCATTGGAAGTAAAACTAACAGGCGAGTCATACAGCGGAGAACTGTGCAGAGGAATTACTCCACGTGTCGAACAGAACGGGGACGAGTGTCACACGGAACATTTAAAGCACTGCTAGGCTAAGCTAGCTGCTAAGCTAGCTACTATGCTACTTCCGTCTCAACGGAATCTAAACGTTATTCTGCAGAGGACCGCCACTGTGTCCCTAAAAGACCGTGGTTTGTAAACGTCCTGGCTAAATGTGGGGACGTTGTTGGCACTTCAAACACAGCCATCAAATGATGGAGTTGAAAGCAAAGTGCACAAGGACGGCAAGAAGAGTCGCTAGTTCAACACCTTCCACCCGATGGAATTCTGCCTCCAAATCAAATGTATGTAGTTGTGTTAAAAATAACATTGACAATTAAACAAACTAAAATACAAACGCTTGGGTGTATAAGTGTATATATTGTTTTTCTTCTAAAGACAAAATTTTAAAAGTAGACATTTATTTTTCATTAAAAACAACATTGTAACAACATGTATTGCCATCAATCGAAATTAATAAATATCAAAATGTGCGATTAATTAGTCAATTGTTTTAATCTATTGACAGCCCCTAAAAATAATGATAGTATTAGTAGAGTAGTAATAGAGTAGTAGTAACTGGCTGCATGCTAAATGGAGCGAGCACAGCTTTTCTTGCGGCTCGGTGACCTGCATGTCTTGGAGTTTGATTACAGGTTGACGTTTTTGTGAAAACAGTGAGCCGTGCGCAGACACTGATATGCAAACTGAATAAGCGGGAGGAAAGCTTGAACACGCTGTATGTTTTACTCATATTGTGAGTCTCCTCTTTACGCATACACTCCTCACCACACGCCTGTTCCGACAGCCGGGCAGAAAAGGTCCCCTGGACAAGACAACCCGGAGCCTCCAGGCTACGTTGGTCTGGAAGTCCCTCAAAAGCAACCTTCAGCGTCGGCCACAGTCAACAGTTTTACCACACGCTCCACGCTGCTCTGGAAATTCAATCTCCGCTCACAAATTGATGAGGTTTACGGGCGTTAACTGTGACCGTCTCCAAAAAAGTCAACGTGCCCCGGCACCGAATCGGTTTAACTGCAGCCATTTCGCTCGGGCTGTCTGTTCCCGTCGTCGCTGTGAGATTTAAGGGCAGATTTACACAAAAGAGTGAGAGGGCCTCGACAGTGGAACAGAAAGAAAAAAAAAGAAAAAAAAAGAGCAATTGGAGGATTGTTTCTGCACTCTCACTAAAAATCAAGAAAGGTATTCCATGTGAAGGACCTGATGTACCCACGCTGAGGTTATGTATAAATGCCGCCAATCAGGTTAGAAACTGAAACTCCACTACATGTTCGTGTTCATCCTCCAAGAGCATTTTAAAATAATTGATACTTAAAAGAGGAAGATGATGTACCAAATCCAAGGCTTTCCAATTTGTTTCAAAGCGCTGTTGCTGCAGCATCGGGAGAGCAGCTGAGAGATCAGCGCATCAACCTCAGGAAGCAATTCCTCTTTTTCGTATTGCCACTAATTCACTGCATCTGCGAATCATGTCTGCCCGGTGATTTGGCCGCAGATGAGCGTGGTGACGAACGCAAAATCCTTCGAGGGTTTATAGCTGCCTTTAGAATGAAAGGCCCAATATGATTTCATTGAAGGGAGAGAGCGGCTGTGCGGGGGAGGAAGGGGGAGGGGGGGCCTGACCTTGTAACTACAAAAGCGACACGTCTGTCGCACACAAACGTTAAGCGGCTTTCAGGGCTCGCAAGGGTGGAATCTCACACACGCTGGTCACAGCCTAGCGTTGAATGTTCTTTGGACTTGTAAATCCTGAAATCTTCCTCTGAAACAGGACAATAGCTCTCAGAATAGCGGTCCTCCTCGCAGATAGAAACCATGAGGAGCGCACGCCACAGCGATCCATTTCCTCCCCAAAACACGGTTTCATTGTCGAGCGCCGCTGGCTGTCCATTACAGCTGAGACAATAAATACAACATGTGGCCTGGTAGGAAAAAACCCACTAAATCAGACTGTCAAATCTGCCCTCGGCTCGGGAAAGAAAAAAGCCGGTAGAAAGTGATGTTGAGGATATTTTTGTTGTCTAGTTTTATTAGTCTGGAACAGAACTCTGCACTATAAATAAAGCTACAGCCAGCAACTTGTTATTGATTTGATTGGTACAATGCTAATAGTTAGACATTATTACTTTGACAGACCTAGGCTAGCCTTGTGGTTCTTTGTTCAGTCTTTATGCTAAGCTAATTGGCTGTAGCTTCTTTTTTCATGAACAGATGTTCGGCTAGTATCAAGCTTCTTATCGAACTTTCAACAAGACAATAAATAAGAGTTTGAATGTTGGACCATTCCAGATGAATTGGTAACTTTTGGAATGATTTCTTTTTTAATCCTCATATTAAAACTGATCAAGTAATACTGTTAAGATTTTCTAAACAAAAACATAAAATAAAATGCAAGTAAGGGCTTTTATTTTCTTTCTGTTGAAGTAACATTCTTTTCAATAAAGCGGATCAATTCAGAAAACTGCGTCGGGATTGCATGTAACCATCCCCGGCTTTCTCTAAGGGGGTCTCTATTCATTATTAATATCAACAGACTGTAACCATATAGCCGAGCAGGAGGCCTGGCTATATCGTTACGCACCGGTTTAAAGACGCCAATAACCCTTGTGGAGAGCCCACCAACGGCTAAGGCTCCAGGGAGAGCTGGAAATCCATACTTACAATCCATTAGCTCTCTCTGACATGCAGACATTAGCCTCACACTACGCCCAGTGCTCGTCATGCTAATTGGATCACGCATGGCTGCGGATCCATATCCAGAAGAGCAAATCAGTGGGGCCAGTAGATCAGAGGGCAGGGACATACCAAGGTTGAAATTGCGTCGCCTCACTGATCAAAGGATATGCTGCTTATTTTCAGACATGAGCTTTTTTTTATGCGATCAATGACTACTACTAGTGTGTTGTGGACTGAAAGTGCAGGGAAAAAAAAGGAGATAAACAAAATCCCTCCAGTGAACCAGATGTATACGTTAAATGCCATGTGTGATGATCGCTTTCATGCCTCATTGCTCAGTTGCCCTTTATGTCAACGTGGTTACCCCTACGTGGAGAAACCCCCCACCCCCCAACTGATGTAAGGGCCAAAAGGTTTTTACAACTGTACACTTGCTAAATTTTTAAAAACTTTAGAAACCACCTTCCAGTCTGCAGTAAAATAGAGCCGTTGTCAATAAGCGGTGGACGTGGGCTTTGGCGTGGTGAGAGTCACCCTGTTGAGAGAACTAGAGTAGAATGAATTTCATCAGCCAACGAGCCCGGTTCCCCCATCACTGTTCGAGCACCATCTCCTCACAGATGGGCTTTCACTGTGTGAGGGACGAGGCATCGGCCCGATTCTCCCATCGCCCTTCAGAACAAGAGAGGACCAATGTTAAGGATCCAATTCTTATGAAAGAAAGGGCTTTTAAACTCACAACCTTCAGTATTCAATTCATAACTGCACACTGGTGATTCAACGGCAACTATATTTTTGGACGAAAATGGGTCTGACATAATCTTTTTATCCATGTCGAGAGGAATCTATTGGCGCAGTTCACTGAGCCGATTGAGAAAAAACACGAGGGACACAAAAGGGAAAACCATGTCCCAGTTTGATTTAATTAAAATCTTCAAAAAGGGGGAAAATGCGATCTAGTTCTACATCCGATTGAATGATCATCCCCTGCAAGACATGATACCATCAAAATGACAAGACATTTGTCCTTTACTGAGAGAAGCTGCGGACAGATCCCCATGGGAAATCTATAGATGTAATGTAAATAAATAAATACATTAACAATGTGCCATCCCCTGTGCAACATAGATAAATGCACTGCAAATTGATTCAAACCAACATATTGGTGCACTTTAGCATCAACAGTTCC